CTTATGTCCACACAAAAGCCTAAATATGAATATCTGTAGCAGCCTTTTCATAATTACCAAAGACTGGAAGACATCAAAATGTCCTTCAAAAGGTAAACAGATAAACTGTGGTATATCCATATAATGGAATGTTACTCAGCAATAAAAAGAAATGAACTGTCAAACAACAAAAAAACATGAAAGAACCTTAAATTCATATTGCTTAGCAAAAGAAGCCAGTCTGAGAAGGTATATGCTATATGATCCCATTATATGACATTCTGAAAAAGGCAACACTAGAGAGCCAGTAAAAGGCAGTGGTTGCGAGGAGCAAGGATGGAAAGGATAAACATGTGGGAGACAGGGGGATTTTTAAGACAGTAAAACTATTTTGTAAGATGCTGTAATGGTGCATATATGACATTGTGTATAAATCCACAGAACTGTAGAACACAAAGAGTAAACCTTAATATCAACTGTGGACATTAGTTAATAATAATGTTTCAATGTTGACTCATCAATTTAAACAAATATACCACACTAATGAAAGATGTTAATATAAGGGACACTGTACGCTCTGCTCAATTTTCTGTAAACCTAAAACGGCTCTAAAGATAAAAGCCTACTAGGGTGCCTGTGAGGCTCAGTCGGTAAAGCGTCCAGCTCTTGATTTCGGCTCAGGTCATGAGCTCAGGGTCGTGAAATCGAGCTCTGTGTGGAGCCCCATGTCAGGCTCCAGCTCAGCATGGAGTCGGCTTGAGATTCCCCTGCCCCCTCCCCAGCTCTCTCACTCCCGCACTCTCTCTCTAATAAATAAAGAAATAAACTATTTTTAAAAAATAAAGCTTATTAATTTTTTTAAATCTTACTAGTACTCACACAAAATATTGTTAATTACCCTGGGTGTATTTTTAGAAAATGAAAGTTACACCACATATGTAATCTTTTCAATGATACAAGTTATTGGAAAAACAGCATAATTTTGCCAAATTACTATCATAACACAAATGTTTCTGAAAATGTTAATTTTTGTTATAAAAGTCAAAGCAAATCAAGAAACAAAAGCAAAAAATACTGCTTGTCTCTTGCCATATAGAAGTCTTTTGCAATACAGTATACAGAAATCAATGATGAACTCTATCCTCAACAAAAAAAATCCAAGTCACAATGAAGGAAGTCATTTTTGCCTACTTCAGTTGGAAAATACCACAAAATTACAAAATTCAACTGAAGATGACTGAAATAATAAATATCTCAGTAGTTATTACAGTTACCATATTTTCTGAACAGTTAATTCATGAGCATGTTTTAAGAAATCACAGATTCAACAGAAAAACATGCTCTTACAGGTTTTTGGTTGTTGTTGTCTTAAACTAGAATTCTTCATCTGGTGCACTCCTTGCTATTCCTGCTAACTTCGATAAACAGAGTATGGCAGGGGCAGTGGCCTAGGTAGAATCATGACCAGACCAGGTGAAAATAATTTTGTTAAGTGGGCTTTAGCAGTATAATTCAATGGGAGCTGGTTTAAACAATCAAAACCAAACCAGCAAACCAAAACAAAATAAAAATTACCTCCTCAATAACCCAGGGCAAGCAGCTGGTTCCTTGAGTTAATTCTTAGGCACCCTATATTGGCATAATGGAATCAGCATTCTGATCTTTCTGTAGAAAGACTAGATCATTGCTGCAAAGCACTAAATAAAATAGCTTTAAGCTGGTTTTCTGGTAATGATGATGGCCTTGTGCTGATTCAGTCATTTTGCTATTTAGTATCTGATGCTAAGTGTTTGCTCCAGAAGAGAATACAGCTAACTAGTCCACATGGGGATTGAACGAATGACCCTGGCCTAATTAGCACACTGCTAATCAACCACCAAAATAGCTAGTATTAATTAGGAGGTGTTTCCATTTATAGACTACCTTATAAATGTCAGGTATTGTGCTAAGTGCTTTATGATCATTATCTCTTAAATTTTGCAAAAACCTTTCAAAGTAGATACTATCCAGATTTTACAGATGTGGAAACTGAGAATCAGAATGGATAAGAAAGGAAAACAGCACAACAATCTTACAGCTAGTAAATGAAAGCTCTAGGACTCAAATCTAGGTCTGTCTGTATCAAAAGCCTTGCCTCCTTGTACATAGCAAGACCTTATTACCAATCAATTCCAAATAAATCAAAAGGTGTTGCATGACAGAACAAAAAAGAAAGATGTGTTACTCTTGATCTGAAAACAATATTTTAAAATTCTGAACATCTTCATTCAATTTAAAGTTATCCGAATAATGAAAACAAAAGGTGGATATGTCTGCTATTAGCATGAACATCTTTATTCACAAAGTAATTCAGGCTCATTCACAATGACTTAATTAAGAGGTTGACAAATATTCACCAAAGCAGAAAATATTCCTGAAAAACAAGGAAAATAAAAACAAATATCAACATCTTAAAAGAAACCTAAATATTAGTTAATAGTTTTCAAATTATTCCTGCCCACCTAAAAAGGAGAAGAAAATAATGCCTGTTATTGTCCTTAAACTAAACTTATGGTGCATATAGAATAAAAGCTACTGGTGAATTGTAAAATAACTTTCACTGTATAGCATTATTAACTAATAAAATCAGATGTTTATTTACATTAGTTGGGGCATACCAATAATAGTTAAAAATATTTTTCAAAATGCCAGGTTGTATTAAAGATATTGTGTAAGACTGTTGAATCACAGACCTGTACCTCTGAAACAAATAATACATTACATGTTAAAAAAAAAAAAAGAAGAAGAAGAAGATAGCAGGAAGGGAAGAATGAAGGGGGGGAAATCGGAGGGGGAGACGAACCAGGAGAGACTATGGACTCTGAGAAACAAACTGAGGGTTCTAGAGGGGAGGGGTGTGGGGGATGGATTAGCCTGGTGATGGGTATTAAAGAGGGCACGTACTGCATGGAGCACTGGGTGTTATACGCAAACAACGAATCATGGAACACTACATCAAAAACTAATGATGTAACGTATGGTGATTAACATAATAAAAAAAAGATGTTCTATCTCTAGAATTAGAGATGATCGCTAAATAAGAAAAACTTGTACAACAGAGAACTATAGCAGGAAGCACTGGATTAAACAGTAGTCAAAGCACCCTCTTCTAGGCCATGATAAGAAGATAATTTAAGTTAACAAATATTTATTAAGAACTACCTACTAGTAACTAGGTTCTCATCTATGTGCTAGACACTGGAATGCAAAGATACTAAAAACATTTCAAAGGATTTATAATCTAGTAAGGCTAACAGACTTGTAAGAAACTAGAATTTGGGGCAGAGTACCAAAAAATACAAAAATGTTCAGTGAGGGGGCGCCTGGGTGGTTCAAATGGTTAAGCGTCTGCCTTCGGCTCAGGTAGCGATCCCAGGGTCCTGGGATGGAACCCCACATTGGGCTCCTGGCTCAGCGGGGAGCCTGCTTCTCCCTCTCCCTCTGCCTCTCCCCCTGCTCATGCTCTCTCTCTATCTCTGTGTCTCAAATGAATAAATAAAACCTTAAAAAAAAAAAAAAAGTCCAGTGAGGTAGAATGAGTGCTCATACCAGAGACCGGGAAAGCTGCCACAGGAAGTACCATTTTAGCAAGGCCCTCATGATAAGAGGGATCTATCTGGTAAGGAAAAGATACTGGGGTGGGGAGGTAAGAGCCAAACATTCCAGGGTTAGGGAATAGCATGAGCAAAGCCAGACGCATGGATGCTTCCAAGAACAAGGAGGCTGGAATGACAATAGTACATAATGTATCAGGAAATTACAGCAGGAGGAGACTGAAAATATAATTCAGTGTCACATCATAGACAATCCTCCCCATCATCTGGCTGAGGAATTACTGTTTATTTAGTAGAAAATGGAAAGCTAGAGCAACCTGAGAAGAAGGCTATTTAGGTAGTAGTAACATATCCCTATCCTGAACTTATGAGCAAGGGCTTGCAGCTGGAGCGCCTGGGCTGGTATCCTGCACTACTACTTACTGAGCAGAGGACTTTGCACTAGTCACTTAATATATCTGTGCATTGGGTTTTTCATTTCGAAGTGGAAATAAAATAGTGCCAAATTCAATGAGATAATACATGTCAAGTGCCTAAAACAGCAGCTAACATGAGCCCTCAGTAAATATTAGTTACAAATACACATAACATCTAATTCAAACCAGCACTGCAGAACTAATGTGACAATAAAAGTAGTTTCAGGGGCACCTGGGTGGCTCAGTTAAGTGTCGGACTCTTGGTTTCAGCTCAGGTCCTGATCTCAGGGTTGTGAGATGGAGCCCCATGTCTGGCTCCCTGCTCGGCACGGAGTCTGCTTGGGATTCTCTCTCTCCCTCCCTCTGCCCCTGCCCCCTGCGTTCTCTCTTTCTCTCTCAAAATAAATAAATAAATAGATCTCTAAAAAAATTTTTTTAATTAAAAAAATAAAAATAGTTCCAAGAGAAGGAAGCCCCAGGAACTGTGTACTATAGAACTGCTAAGATTAAAAAAGGGGCAACTGAAAAACCGTCAGAGATCTATATAAATAAAGCAGTAGTATATAAATAAAATAGAACAGTTTATATAAATAAAAACTGTGATGTATTATAGTTCTGCATTCAGAAAGTTCCTTTTTAATTGCATTAGTTCATTAATGCCTCAAATTATCATTTTTTGGGGGGGTGAGGGGCAGAGGGAGCAGGAAAGAGAATCCCAAGCGGGGTCCAGGCCCAACAGGGAGCCCCACACAGGGCTTGATCCCATGACTCAGATCATGACCATAGCTGAAATCAAAAGTGGAACGCTTAACCAACTGACCCACTCTGGGCGCCCCACAAATTATCATTTCTTGAGGTAATTATAGAAAAGAACGCACATGTGATGAATTAGCTTTTCACTCACACAATGTCTAAAATAGTATACTTCGACAATCAAATATAGCAAATTTAAGTGAAACCCTGGGCATTTTTATTAAAACTGTATGTTAGCAGAATGATAGAAAAGCAGAACCTGTGATGTACGGGTCTTTGCAAGAGGAGAAGTGCATGCTTCTTGAAATTGATCTTCATTAATTCCAATTTCTTTGAGGTAACTTTCCAGCAGCTTTTCAACCTAAAAACAGAAAGTATAATTTACATAGAAAAATTCCAAATGACAATTTTCATGTTAAGTGTTGAGTTTAGAAAAGGATACTCAAATGTTTGCTTGCAATTATTAATCTGCATAAAATTATATTATATAGCAATGACAATGTCTTTCACTAAAAAAACCCACAAACAACGAAAAGTTAAAATTTTTGCAGAGAATCAAATGAAATCTTATTTCCTCTACTTGAAATAATTGAAGTCAGGGTTATGACAGTCAATGTGGTACAACTCTTCTGCTACTCAGAGGCATTTTTTAAAAATCACAAGACAACCATGGCAAATTAATAATTAACACTTCTCTAAATGCATCAACAGAAGATTAAAAATAAAATTTAAAGATTAGATGCAAGATCCCTTAAAATAGTTGTCCTAAATTCATTTCTTAGATTCTAGAGTAGAAGAGATAAGAAATCAAAAGGATGAAATGCTCAGAGAAGCGTTAGGGCCTGATGGAACTGGTAGTACTATTAGGGTAGACTGGATTTTTTTTTAAATTCTTTTTATTTTATTTATTTTTTTTTTTTAAGGAGGCTCTACTCCCAATATGGAGCTTGAACTCACAACCTTAAGATTAAGAGCCACATGTTCTACAGCAGAGCCAGCCAGGTGTACCAAGAATGGATTTTTTTAATTAAAGAATTTTAAAATGGAAAAAGTCCATGTTTTTAATTTAGAAAAGCTAAAATTAATATTATTTTAATTACCTTTAAAAATCAGTGGAAAAAAATACTCACTAGTTCTTTGTATTCCTGATGAATCTCTGTATAGGTCAATTTGCTTTCTTCTTCATCATCAAAAACTAAATTTAAAAGAAAAATATTATTATATAGTGTACAAAAACAAATCATTTCATTAATGCAAATATGGAAGTGCACTCCTTACATCTTACAGTAGAATTCTTGTTCTTATAACCTAGCTCTTCGGTTTTGAATTCTTGAATTAAAAAAAAACTATGTGTATATATATATATGATATATACATATATTTGTAATAATATATGTTATTCGTATAACATATAACAGTGTTTTTCCTACTTAAGATCTATTTCATATGTAAGACAAACGCTAATTTGCTATTTTCAATAATAAAAGGCAACAATTTCTTTATAAACTTTTAATGGAATATTATTAATAGTTTTTAAACATTAATTCCTTTTATAACAGACTCCAGATTATGTTATATTTAAAATTTGCTGATGCAAATTTTACTGAGAGTGACTAGGCCATTTTTGCTCCATATAAATCAGTAATGAAATTAAAATAAATAAAACCAAAACAAATGTTTACTCAATGATCATATGTTTCATATGTGAAACAATGTGGATTAGAAAGATATATATTCCATCAAGAAGCTACAATCTAATTAGGGAAACATGCCAAATTCATGAATTGTTAACAATAAACTTTTTTTAATTCCCCCTAAATGATCTAAAATGCAAAACTAACTTCTTTAACTTTCTATTTAAAGCTCTTCAATGACTGTTCTTTGCCTAAATAATAAACGCAAAATCCTTAGAAGGCCAGACAAAACCTCCAAGTCTCATCTCCCTTCACTCCAAAACCCAAACTTTGCACTCTTAACATACACCACTACTTGGAATACCATCAAACATAACACGTGCAGTGCTTCAAACTCCTGTACATTTGCTCAAGTGTTCCTAGAAATTTTTGCCTTTACCTAATCCTCTTCCCTCAACTATTCTTCAAGACATTGCAAATGGCACATTCTCCAAGACCTGCCACCCACTCCCAACTCCCGGGCTGGTTAGATCCCTTCCTTTGAACTCTTAAAATAGTGCCACATGCCTTCCTTTATTATAACACCTGACACTTTAGATTTAAATTCCATTTACCTGCCTGTCTTCCGCCACTAAATCATAAACTTCTCAACCACAAGGATTTTGTTTCATTCATCTCTCTATCCCCAGCTTCTGGCTCACAGACACTCCTCAGTAAGTGTTTATTGAAATAAATGCTGATATCACAGGTTGTACAAAACTCATCTTTAAAGAATAGCACACTGACAACCTAAAGTTACTCAAGTATTAACACTTATTTCAAGTGACACTAGGATGTTACTTCCACTTCTACTGGCATCTGCTCTATATAACACTGGGCATACACTCAATATAGCAACAACTTAATTAACTGTTTCCAGTTAATTCTAAAACCAAATTACTACATTACATATGCCCTGTAAAATTACACAATCAGAGATGCAACCGCTTTTGACATTTGGGGATAAAAAGAGCAATGCTTTAATTTTTTTTCATTTTAGCATTTAGTCTCAGAGGGGTAAATAGAATCAAAAAAGTGACATAATTCTTTTTTTCTCCCAAAGGAGGTCAGAATTCCACATGCTTCATCTGTCTCAGAATTTTAAATTCTTAAAAAGATCATAAACAAAAATTATTTTGAACTTTAGAAATTATGCATAAAAACAATACTTAAATACTCTCTGAATTTTGATTATGGCATAATTTTGATTATGGTAATGAAATGATTCAATGGTCAAACTAAAGTTTATCTTTACCAGATTCATGGACCCTTAGGGTTGAAAGGACTCTTAAAAGGTCATCCAGGACAACTCATCATTTGATGGTTGAATTCCCCTCTATAACATCTCCATTAAGTTGCTGTCAAATCCATTTAAACACAGCTACTGTCTGGGGAACTCATTACCTTTTGAGGTAGGCTAACTTAACTGGGATACATTCCCCTATGGAGCACTTCCTTCATAAAAATTTGTCTGTGGCTTGTACCCACTGACCCTTACAAAACAAGTCTAAACCCTCCAACATAAGGCAGATGTTCAAATGATTAATGGATATTACTACCCTGCAAGTCCTGCCTGCTAAACAATCATTATATCAGTTGGGCATTCACTCGTATGACATGGTTTCTAGCTCCTTTTCCGTACGTGGGCTCCAGTTTGTCTCCAAGAACTGAATGCAGAACTCTAAGCGTGAATGATCAGGGCCTGGGGGTCCTTTGCCCTCACAGGGAATATTATACCACCTTTATATACCTCACTTGTTAGAAGATAACCCCCATTTTTTTTTAAACTTTTTATTTATTTATTCATGAGAGAGAGAGAGAGAGAGGCAGAGGGAGAAGCAGGCTCCCAAGGAGCAGGGAGCCCGATGCGGGACTCGATCCCAGGACCCCGGGATCACGACCTGAGCCGAAGGCAGACGCTCAACCATCTGAGCCACCCAGGCGCCCCAATAACCCCCATTTTTGGTATTTCCGAGAGTCCGAGTGCTCAGGAAAGGCAAACAGGCCACTGGGTCGCCAGCTCTGGGCCTGCTGGAGTAACAGTATGCCCTCCCTTTGAGGTTAACTGTTTAGATCAGAAGGAACATAAGCAAACTGACATCTCTCCTCCCCAGTCCCTGGGGAAATTGTTGAAGCCCACCCAAACAGTGCACCTGCCCAAGGAAGAAACGTGCAGGATAAGGTGAGAGACCCAACATAGGATTGAAGTCTAATGATTTTCGGATGTGTGCTTGGGCCTAGGGAAAGGGGAGTCCCTGTCTTCAGTTCCGTGAAGGAAGACACTGGCGCAGTGACAGCAATACCTCCTACAAACCAGCTCTGAACCTGGCGGACAGGGGTAAAAGACCTGAGAGATGAGAGATGGTTCGTGGTGACCACCTTCCTGCCGATCGCCGGTCAGAGAGAGGCGAGAAAGAATTGTCGGTTCGAGATCTTATTTTTACCTTCACATTTCTGCTCCACAAAGTCCAAGATGGGGATGGACCAGTCCGGGCCTCGCAGGAACCCAGCGATGCTCTCCACTACCCATTCCACCTCATCCTCTTCCTCCGCAGCCATCCCGCTCTGCGGGGCGCCGCGGAACCGTAGGCCAGACCCCCGGAGCCTGCGTAAGGCTCTTGGGCCGCAGGGAGCCGAGACAGAATGGGAGAAGAAAGAGTGGTCCCCGCAGTGCCCCCCTGCTACCTGGACGAAACCTACAAACCAGTTAACGTAAAACGGTCGCTATGGCAACACGCGCAGCCGCCCCTGACAGCCTCCCGGAAGTGAAGCCTGCTTCCCTGGAGCCTGCGATCTCAGAGAGGGGCATTTGAAGAACGCTTCCGATTGGCTGGAACAGGACAGTAACGGATCAAAAGATAGCCTTCCGTCCATTGGCCCGGAGTTGCTAGGGCCGGGAGCAAAAGTGTAGCCATTGGTTGGAGGCCCTAGCAGGATTCGACGTTCCCTCTTCAGAGAAGTGCGTGGGAGCGAAGAAATGGCGCAGTGAGCTACACGCGGTGACGGGTCTTACCCCTGTAAGGTCTTCAAAGGCTTGGGTTCACCGTTGTATACCCTGCACCTCAGTGCCAACCATTTTTAAACCCACTGGCCCAAAAACCTTTGTAATAAAAGGGTTGTTTGAAAATATAAAGCCGAGCAACGCAGCTCTGTAAGACTTGCTGTTCGGCTCTATCTTTGTATCTCGTAGCTCTCGGCGGGTCTTTAACCTTTCATGGGTAGATAGAAAAAAACTAGAATTAGGAGATTTTCAAGGGCAAAATCGAACTTAATGTTCATTTAAATAAATATTTACACAACCAAATCTTATGTCAGACAACACCTACTCAAATTTTCAAATTAGGGTCCATTGTGGAATGGGTCTTCAGAGGTCATTGCCTAGGTCTTCGGTGTCCCCAAATCTCTTCAAACAGCCTTATATATTGTTATATTAAGTTTTCAAGATCTAATTGTATCAATTCATGAATGAGGCAGCATCCCATCTGGCAAGTAGAGGAGAGCTCCAAAGGGCTACAGGAAAGGAAAGGTTTTTAAAGGCTTTTTAAAGGTTTTAAAGGTATGGAAAAAAGGACATTGTTAGCAAAGAATCCATTGTTTGAGGCAAGGTCACCCTCCTGAGGGGGACAGAAAGGGTGTTATCGGTAAATTTCCTAATGCTGACTGAGAAATTCCCATGTTGACTGGTTAGAGGTTACATTTCTAGGCTGAAATGACAGGTTAGGTTTTTTTAAGTGTTGGTTTACTGGTTCTGGGCCTTAACCTAAGTGACACCATTTTGGGCCTGTGGTTTTCTTTTTAACAATATATTTATATAAATGAGATCATATTATATGTACAGTCACAGAACTTTTTTCACTATGAGGTCACTTTTCATGTGAAAATATAGAACTTTTTTTTGCAGCTGCATAGTATTCTATAAAATACCATTTAGTCTATTTTTACTTTTACATCCACAATATCTTAGTGGATGCCGAAATATCATTACTGTGCAGTCTTTTTTCTTTTTCTCCCTTCCTGATGTGGGTGTACTCTACCATTTTTTCCTTACAGACTGCTGAAATTAACATCTTTGTGTCACTAAGAGCTATGATTTTATGGACTATTCTATGGGGTAGATTGCAGCAGAATTGCTAAATGAAAGTATAGATGTCTTGATTTATTCGACTAATCAACTGCTACATTAAAGTACTTCAATTTTTAAAACTCAAACAGTTCTGCAATGAACATTCTTCACATATATTTTTGAACCCGAGTCTCATTATTTCCTTTGAATAAATTCCCAAATGGGAAATTGCTGAACTTATTTTTAAAATCTTTTTGAAAATGTCTTTGCCAATCTACTAGGTTAAAAATAAAACATAGATTTAGTTTGCATTTTTTAATTTGAAATTGAGCACTATTTGACATGGATTAGCCTTTGTGTTTGTTCCTGGGTTATCTTTCCATATCCTTTGACCATTTTTTATTGGGCTGTTCTTTTTTATTATTGATGTATAAGAGCTTTTCATACGTTGTAAGAATTTTCACCCTTTGACACGTTTCAGTGACATGCTTGTCATTTGTCTTTGAGTTTGTTGTGCCTTTTGCTATATGGAAGTTTTGCATTTTCCGTGTAGATTTTAAATGGGAGATTATAAGTTAATTCTTTTCCTTAGTGGATAGCTATGCTTCAAACACCACTTGCTGGAAATGGGTATGATAAAGTGTTGTGGTTTTTGAATTACTGAGTAGAGGTAATAGGAAAGAAGGATATCATCATTCTTAGGCTAACCTATTGTGACACCAGAGATGGATTTCTGTAGTTTCTTACTCTGTTTTTCTGTTTCCTAAACCAGCTTAAAATAGAAATCCCACTTTTGTTCTGCCAGTTTCCTCTTTTCATAAAGAAGTTGCTTGTATGGTTTCTGATGAGCCTAGAGGCCACAGAATGCTATTCAACTGCACTTGGCATTACTTGGCATCAGAGTCTTCATCTTCAGTCTCTTCCAAGTACTTTCCCATTTCACTGGAAGCGGACAATAGCCGGGATGCACAAGCTCTCCTTTCGTTTATTTTCTCAGCATTATTCCTGAATGTGGACAGTGTGGATTTCCTCAGGCCTTGAATTTTTCTCATTTATTTCAAAACATTTAATCATTTCAACTTTCACCTCAACACATCAGGCTTTTCTTTTTATTCACTACTTGGGATCTTAGAACCAGTATGCTCATACAGTTTTAACAAAATATATTCAACATGTTCATCATGCTATAACACAAACTCCACAGAACAGTGCATGTACTCAGGACAACACATGTGGGTGCGCTGGGGTAAGAGTAAGAAGACAGTGTGGATGTGTGTCATGCATTTTACCATAGGTCACTTTGTTCAGTCAGGTACTGGTTTTCACGTTTCACTGTAATCCAAAGCCTATTCATCTCTTGAAAAATCATGACTTCTTATTTTGGCGGTTTTATTACTTTTTACCTACTACATATAAACAGATTTTCGTATTGAAGGTATGTGTTGTAACAAAAGAGACCAAAATAGATAACACATACACACTGCTTCTTTCCATCCTCGGTATGGGAACTGAGCCTCTGCCTTACAAAAGGGTTATAAAGTTCAATCTTCCTCTTTTTAAGATTTATTTACTTATAAGAGAGTACACACAAGCAAGGAGAGGGGCAGAGGGAGAGGGAGAAAGAGAATCTCAAGCTGACTGTGCTGAGGGTAGAGCCCAATGTGGGGCTCGATCCCACAATACCAAGATCATGACCTGAGCTGAAACCGAGAGTCAGACACTCAACTGACTGAGCCACCCAGGTGTCCCTATAATGTCCAGTCTTAACAAGGATGACTGCATTCCTCCAGGTTTTTATATTTGTAGTGCTTTATAGTTTACAAAGGCATTTACATCTGTCTGACTCAGTGCAACCTTGAAAGCTAAATAAAGATGGTATTAAGATTTTCCCCATCTTATAGGACTGCTAGTTTGCAGCAACAAAGTACCACAGACTAGGAAGCTTAAATGACATAATTTTATTTTCTCACAGTTCTGGAGACTAGAACTCTGAAATCAAGATTTCTTCTAAGGCCTCTCTCCTTGACTCCTAGATGCTGCCTTCTCATTGTGTCCACATGGTCTCCCTTCTTTGCCCATCTGTGTCTAAATTTCATCTTCTTAAAGGACATCAGTTGAAGGGGAGTCAGAATATGATATCCCGAAATATGCCACTTTCAGAATATTGATTATTTTGAGCTGAAATGAAGGCAACTGAGAACTCTCTGCTCTCTCACCATCTGCATAAAAGCAGGGCATAAATTTCCCATGAGAAGAGACTTTCCCTGGGAGAGTACCAGGAAGAGGAGAGGTGAGGAGAGCACTCTTATCACTGCAGACAAGGAGTCAATGATGAGATGAGTTTGCATAAACAGACTTTACTAAAATAACCCTTACCTTACATTAAAAGATCTTTGTCCCCCCACACATATTTCCTATTCACTTTTGCACAATTAATGCACTCAAGAAGCCCAAATCCCCTTTTCCTCATCTAGTCACTTCTCCACAATTTATCGCCTTTTGTTAGAAAGGTACATAAGGGGTGCCTGGGTGGCTCAGTTGGTTAAGCGACTGCCTTCAGCTCAGGTCATGATCCTGGAGTCCCGGGATCGAGTCCCACGTCGGGCTCCCTGCTCAGCAGGGAGTCTGCTTCTCCCTCTGACCCTCTTCCCTCTCGTGCTCTCTATCTCTCGTTCTCTCTCTCTCTCTCTCAAATAAATAAATAAAATCTTAAAAAAAAAAAGAAAAAGAAAAGAAAAATAAAATCTTTAAAAAAAAAAAAAAAAGAAAGGTACGTAAGCCCTCAAGTCTGTCTGCTGTTTGACTTTTTTCACTTCTTTTCTGTGAAGCCCCCATGCACATACAATTTTATTAATACTTAAAGTTAAGTGGGGCGCCTGGGTGGCTCAGTCGTTAAGCGTCTGCCTTCAGCTCAGATCATGGTCCCAGGGTCCTGGGATCGAGCCCCACATCAGGCTCCCTGCTCCGCGGGAGGCCTCCTTCTCCCTCTCCCACTTCCCCTGCTTGTGTTCCCTCTCTCACTGTGTCGAATAAATAAATAAAATCTTAAAAAAAAAAATACTTAAGTATTTTTCTTATCCTGTTTTTCTCTCCTGTTATTTGTCAGTTTAATTCTCAGGCCCCAGCTACTAAGCTTGAGTGGGCAGAGGAAGAGGTTTTTCCTTCCCTCTATAGTCATACTGGATTAGGGCCCCCCCCAACAATGGCCTCGTTTTAACTTAATTACCCCCATTTAAAGGCCCTGTCTCCAAAATACAGTCAAATTCTTCTGTAGGAGGTTAAGATTTCAACATGCGAATTTGGGGAGAACGCAATTCAACCCACAACAGGTGGGAAAACTGATACTTTTTGAGGTCAAGTTTCTTGCCCAGGGTCAGAGCGAAGTCAGGGCTTACACTTCCCTGTAGGTACCTTCCAACTTTCACTTTATAATATATCACAGAAAATTTTCCATATCAATGAAAATATTTCTGCATGATTCTTTTTAATGTTATCTAGTGTCTTAGCTCAGACTGCTATGACAGAATACCAAAGACTAGGTGGCTTATAAACAACAGAAATTTATTTTTCACAGGTCCAGAGGCCAGGAAATCCAGCAGATTCAGTGTGTTTGGCGAGAGCACACTTCCTAGCATAGATAGCTGTCTTCTTGCTGTGCCCTCACAGGTGTAAGGTGTAAGGGAGCTCTCTTGGGGTCCCTTTTATAAGACCACTAATCCCATTCATGAGGGTTTCA